CTAGGTGGGAGTAGTGGAGCTGTGCAAAGCAGGGAGATAAAAACATCACATCCTGTAGTAAAACACCAGACAGTAAACAGTGAAAGCAATCCCTAACATACAGTTAACCCTTTGATCAACCCAGATGTTAACCCCTTCCTACCCTCCCTGTCATTAGTACAGTGACAGTGCTTTTTATTAGCATTGATCAATGTATTAGTGTTACTGTCTGTGTCAGTTAGTGTCAGAATGCCCGCCGTACTATCACATTCCCGCTAAAAGTCACTGATCGCCATTACTAGTAAAAAAAAAAATAAATAAAAATTGCAGTATATATAGCATTGTTTGTAGACACTATGATTTTCAGGCAAACCAATTAATATACACTTATTGGGATTCTTTTTTTATTAAAGACATGTAGCAGAATACATTTTGGCTTAAATTTATGAAGAAATATTACTTTTTAAAAACATTTTTATTGGATATTTTTATTAAAAAGTAAAAAATATTGTTTTTTTTTATTAATTGTCGGTCTTTTTTCATCTATAGCGCAAAAAAATACAAAATCCAGTATTGATCAAACACCACCAAAAGAAAGCTCTATTTGTGTGAAAAAAAAATATTCAAACTTCATTTGTTTACAGTGTTGTATGACTTTGCAATTGTCAGTTAATTAAAGTAGCGCAGTGCCGCATAGCAAATAACGGCCTGGTCAAGAAGGGGGGTACATTTTCCAGAGGGCAAGTGGTTATAAGCACTTGTCTCTCTATTTATTTTATTAAAGATGTTTTTTTTTATGTGTGTCAAAGGCCTCCAGAGAACCAGGCCATTCCATTCCTAAGTCATTTAGGTAGCTTAGATCCCTGAAGATGTTTTTTTATTTTTGACATTCTTTTAGCTACTCTGTTTGGACTCCTGGTGGTCCTGGTACAGGTCAACTTATAAACATGGTGGAATCTGGACCCAGTCACAATTAAGAAAAAAAAATCTCCAATCTGTTTTGTGACTGAATTGCATAGTAATACATTATCACAAGGTTGTGATTATAGTTATATAACCTTTTCTTCTTTGACTCACTTACCTTTAATTTATGCAAGGTCATTTTAAACTGGTGTGGTTTCTTTGTGTTAAGTCTGTGACAGACTGGTCAAGGTATTACACCACTCGGTTCAGTGAAAGAAAAATAAGTCCAGAAGAATTACCAAGCTAGCGGCTTCTGTGGGGGTGGGCTACATGCACATGGCTGAACAGGGGCTGTACAGCATGTAGAGTCTGCGTACGTAGGACTCATTCAGATGGGCGTGAGGCCCGTCGTCTGTGCTGAGCCACTTTTTGCTGTGTATACAGGCAGCATTAAAACTGGATGCAGACGCAGCAGTTGCACGGACACAATTGCATGCCAAAATCTGACATGCAGGTGGGAGTAGGTACACAGGTCTGAATTCACTGTGTCTGTGTTCAGATTCATGCACTTGCTCCCATCCATGTGTCAGATTTTCAAAATGCGAGTGTAACTGCAGCCGCTACATCTTCACCCACTTCGGCTAGGTTCACACCTACAGATGCAACTGACTGTGCACATATGTTGCCTGTAGGGCAGTGCGCGTTAGCAGATGTGTTTCTGTTCTTGTCTAGAAAGTACGCAATTTTGTTCTCGTACTCAACATGTAGTAGTCTGAGCTTAGCCGTCAATGTACAGCCCCTGTTTGGCCATGTGCATGAACCCGTATGATAAAACTTTTAGTAGAATGTCGGGTCAGGCTGTGAACAGAACATTGGAAGGTCAAGTGCAGTGAGTTCTCATGCCTTGCATACAGTAGAACACGGAAGATGCCATTCTTGGCTGACAGCCATCTTTCCCATGTTCTACCCTAGTGTGTGTCAAGTGATTCCTATGGCATCACTTCTCATTGGCCCTGCCCCTTTGCTAGTCACATCCGAAGGGTAGCTGGCACCTCTTGGGTGCGCGGGGCATGTGAGGTCAAGGTGCTAAGTTAGCTGGAAGTCCTTTGTGGCTACAACCTACAATTGCTACTTCAGATGCATTTAAACATGCATTTGGGAATACTGTATGTCCATGCGTGTGCTTCAGACCTCATGCTCACTGGGTGTTTAGCCATGGTGCATGAGGCTCTGGTGTTTAACTGGGAGTAGAAGCTACAGGCACACTGCTCAGCCCCGCCGCAGCCTGTCATACTACAAGAAGCTGAAAGCTGCCATTGCATGACGGTGCTCACATTTAGGGCAGTATGCGCCAAGAGCTGAATGTCCAGGATGCAAGCAGTCTGCGTTCTGGGCATTCATTCCTGGGTGCATACTGTGCTAAACAGAAGTACCACTCAGTGCACCATCCAGCTGCAGCAGCTGTCAGCTTCTCCTAGAGCTTGGTAGGCTGCTGGCAGTGGGGCTGGACAGTGCATCGGTACCTTCCACCTTGTACACAGGGTCTAAATACAACACCCAGCATACATCTGCATCCTCTAATTCTTCTTCGTGAGTAGCAGCTTTGGGTTAAGGGAGAGTATCTTTCTAGTTCCCGTGTCACCTCCTCCCATGCTCGCCTCCAGGACTTCTCCCGAGCTTCTGCCATCGTATGGAACTCCCTACCCCAATCTGTCCGGCTATCTCCTAATGTTACACATCATAACATTTGTTATAGTATCCTTTAGGACTGGTGATTGTGGTCATTGGGCTTCCCCTCAGAGTGGTAAGGTGACAGCTCTGGACTGAGTCCTCCCTTTTCACTTGAGGGCTTTCCTTGTTATTTTGCTGGATTTTGCCTGGGTGTGAAGAGTTATGGGGGAATTCCAGCAGCCATGCTCTACTTGCTCCTGTGGGTGGGCGGTTGCCGAGGGGACTATGGTGTGTGTCCAGGTACTCCAGGGCTATCTTGGGTTTCCAAGGTGGTCAGGAGGACGCATGGATGGCCCTGATGACCTAAGATGATAGCTGTTGTCACTTCTGGCGGCAATAGATAATGTACATCCGGCAAGCGGCATAAAATAATCATACGGGTAGGCAGTTTCACACTGACAGAAACAATCAATGAACTACCAGAGCGCTCAACAGCGCCATGGGTCATTAGAACTACAAGCCAACAGCTGCAAAGGCTGTCGGTACTTGTAGTTTCCCATTCACAGAACTCTGTGAATGAATGACATGGACGAATGGGCAGAGCAACGCACGGCCACGTTTTTTTAAATTATGACAGCTAGTGGGGGGAGAAGATCCCCTGCTAGCTGTCTGTCAGGAATGGACTGGCCAGCAATAGTGGGACTCAGCTGCCTTATGAGCTGCAGTACCAGGGCTGGCCAGCGGGTGCTCCCAGCAATCAGAGACTCAACCTTGCAGCCAGTCAAACACCTGGAACTAATTATACTGGTGTATTTAAGGGACATTCAGACCTGCAGACTCTGCCTTGGTGTTGTGTTTCTCTTGGGCCCTGTATCCTGTTCCTGCTCTCTGTTCCTGTCTGATTCTCTGCTGACCCTGCTCTGATCCCTGGCTTGTCTGACCATTCTCCTCTGCCTGACCCTCTGTACCACGCTGCCCGCTACCTGCTGAACCTGGCCTGTGACCCCGACCATTCTCCGCTTGCTCCCCCTGTACCTACCTGCCCGACTGATATTGACCCGGCCTGCCTGACGACGCTTGCATTGTATGTACTGTTATCTGTGGGTGGTTGGTTGGTTTGTTTGCACTGTGTTATGTTTTAGTATTGCACTGCGTTTATGTTTGTATGGTTAGTGTTAATAAATTACATTGTTTATAACATATCTGAAGTCTGCGTTTCCCTGCGTCAGTCACACACCTCTGGTCATACCCGGGAGCCCTGACATTACACCAAGGCCAATCCTGACCAGAAGTGGCTGCACAGGGAAGCCATCTTGGCTTGTTGATGGGAAGGATGGATCTGGATGAGGTTGCGTATTTATATCTGCTAGTGTTTGATGACAGGGAGTATGCTTATCAAACTCTGAAGGAGTATACCCGGGATGAACTGCTAGAATGTATACGGCTCGCTCATGTTCTAGTAGATCAGGGCACAGAGTTCTCTGAGGTGCAGCCTTTGATTGAGGTTTGTGCTGAGTTGGTTTCATCTGGTACCCCCCGAATGCAGGGATGAATTTTTGCCACCATTTAGTGCAGACCAGGTAGAGTCCCTGGTGTGGTTATTAGAGGATGATGTGGGTTACTTTCTGGAGCGTTATTCCACATGTTCACCACAGACACTAAGAGATTGTATAAACGCAGTGCAGTCTTTGGTCAGACAGGCTTTGTGTAAGCTCAGCTTTGTTCAACCCATACTGCAGACATGGACAGACTTGTTGCACCCAGCCTCAGTCAGCTTACAAAAACCCAGTCCTGCTTCTAATCTATTTCCTCAAAACTCTATTCCTGCATTCCCAACAGCTCCTCCTGCCCTGCTATCTACCGCATGTCAGTACCCTGTTCCCACTCGCTGCACCTATCCTGCCTTTAACCCTGTAAAAAAGCCCTCTGTAGCAACTGCTCCCTCTCCTGTTCCATCCTCCAGTTCTTCTCTGTCTCCAGCTGCTCCATTCGTTTGCAGACCTGCGTTTACTTGCAGTGCTCCAGTAGTTAAAACCAGAAAAAAGCGAAAATTCTTTCCAACCAATACCATCCTGCCAGTATCCAAACCGGTGAACCTGCCTTCCGTGGTTCAGCCTGAAGCCTCTACTCAGCCTGAATCCTCTACTCAGCCTGATGCCTGTACTCAGCCTGATGCCTGTACTCAGCCTGATGCCTCTGCCTCTCTCGGCCTGAAGCCTCTACTCGGCCTGAAGCCTCTACTCGGCCTGATGCCTCTACTCGGCCTGAAGCCTCTACTCGGCCTGAAGCCTCTACTCTCGAGCCTGATGCCTCTACTCGGCCTGAAGCCTCTACTCGGCCTGATGCCTCTACTCGGCCTGAAGCCTCTACTCGGCCTGAAGCCTCTACTCGGCCTGATGCCTCTACTCGGCCTGATGCCTCTACTCGGCCTGAAGCCTCTACTCGGCCTGAAGCCTCTACTCAGCCGGATGCCGGCATTCAGCCTGATGCCTCTACCCAGCATGATGAACTGATCCAGCCCTGACGATCCTATTAGGCCTGTTGTTGATGCCCCGCTGTCGAGCCAGACAATCCAATGCCTGGTGACCCGGTGCCCACTGCCTTGCCAGATGACGCGGTGCCCGCTGGCAAGCCAAATGACCTGATGCCTGGTGACCCAGTGCCCGCTGTCATACCTGGTGACCCGATGCCCGCTGTCGAGCCAGACAATCTGGTACCTGATGACCCGGTGCCCACTGTCGTGCCTGTTGACTCGGAGCCCACTGCCTTGCCAGATGACGCGGTGCCCGCTGTCGAGCCAAATGACCTGATGCCTGGTGACCCGATGACCCCGCTGTCCAGTCAGACGATCCAATGTCTGACCCAGTGCCCGCGGTCATACCAGTTGACTCGGAGCCCACTGCCTTGCCAGATGACGCGGTGCCCGCTGTCGAGCCAAATGACCTGATGCCTGGTGACCCAGTGCCCGCTGTCATACCTGGTGACCCCGCTGACCTGGTGACCCGATGCCCGCTGTCGAGCCAGACAATCCGGTACCTGATGACCCGGTGCCCACTGTCGTGCCTGTTGACTCGGAGCCCACTGCCTTGCCAGATGACGCGGTGCCCGCTGGCAAGCCAAATGACCTGATGCCTGGTGAGTGCCCCTGACCTGGTGCCCCGATGCCCGCTGTCCAGCCAGACGATCCAATGTCTGATGACCCGGTGCCCGCGGTCATGCCAGTTGACTCGGAGCCCACTGCCTTGCCAGATGACGCGGTGCCCGCTGTCGAGCCAAATGACCTGATGCCTGGTGACCCGATGCCCGCTGTCCAGCCAGACGATCCAATGTCTGACCCAGTGCCAGCGGTCATGCCAGTTGACTCGGAGCCCACTGTCGTGCCTGGTGACTCGGTGCCCGCCGCTCCGCCTGGGGGCCCGAGACCTGTCGCTCCGCCTGGGGGTCCGGCGCCCGCCGCTCCCGCCTGGGGGTCCGGCGCCCGCCCGCCCCGCCTGGGGGCCTGAGACCTGTCGCTCCGCCTGAGGGCCCGAGACCTGTCGCTCCGCCTGGGGGTCCGGCGCCCGCCGCTCCGCCTGAGGGCCCGAGACCTGTCGCTCCGCCTGGGGGTCCGGCGCCCGCCGCTCCGCCTGAGGGCCCGAGACCTGTCGCTCCGCCTGGGGGTCCGGCGCCCGCCGCTCCGCCTGAGGGCCCGAGACCTGTCGCTCCGCCTGGGGGTCCGGCGCCCGCCGCTCCGCCTGAGGGCCCGAGACCTGTCGCTCCGCCTGGGGGTCCGGCGCCCGCCGCTCCGCCTGAGGGCCCGAGACCTGTCGCTCCGCCTGGGGGTCCGGCGCCCCCGCCGCTCCGCCTGAGGGCCCGAGACCTGTCGCTCCGCCTGGGGGTCCGGCGCCCGCCGCTCCGCCTGAGGGCCCGAGACCTGTCGCTCCGCCTGGGGGTCCCCCGGCGCCCGCCGCTCCGCCTGGGGGCCCGATGCCTGTCGCCCCGCCTGGGGGCCCGATGCCTGTCGCCCCGCCTGGGGGCCCGATGCCTGTCGCCCCGCCTGGGGGCCCGATGCCTGTCGCCCCGCCTGGGGGCCCGGTGCCTGCTCGCTCCGCCCGGGGGGGGCCCGGTGCCTGTGCTCCGCCTGGGGGCCCGATGCCTGCTGCCCCGCCTGGGGGCCCGCTGCCTGCTGCTCCGCCCGGGGGCCCGCTGCCTGCTGCTCCGCCTGGGGGCCCGGTGCCTGCTGCTCCGCCTGGGGGCCCGCTGCCTGCTGCTTCGCCTGGGGGCCCGATGCCTGGTGCCTGCCTGGGGCCCTGCCCGATGTGCCTCTGCCCGGGGCCCTGCCGATGTGCCTCTGCCCGGAGTCCTGCCCGATGTGCCTCTGCCCGGAGTCCTGCCCGATGTGCCTCTGCCCGGAGTCCAGCCCGGTGCCTCTGCCGGAGTGCCCGGTGTGCCTCTGCCCGGAGTCCTGCCCGATGTGCCTCTGCCCGGAGTCCAGCCCGATGTGCCTCTGCCCGGAGTCCTGCCCGATGTGCCTCTGCCCGGAGTCCTGCCCGATGTGCCTCTGCCCGGAGTCCTGCCCGATGTGCCTCTGCCCGGAGTCCTGCCCGATGTGCCTCTGCCCGGAGTCCAGCCCGATGTGCCTCTGCCCGATGTGCCTCTGCCCGATGTGCCTCTGCCCGGAGTCCTGCCCGATGTGCCTCTGCCCGGAGTCCAGCCCGATGTGCCTCTGCCCGGAGTCCAGCCCGATGTGCCTCTGCCCGGAGTCCAGCCCGATGTGCCTCTGCCCGGAGTCCAGCCCGATGTGCCTCTGCCCGGAGTCCTGCCCGATGTGCCTCTGCCCGGTGTGCCGCTGCCCGGAGTCCTGCCCGGTGTGCCAGTCTTTGATATCCCGCCAGTTACCAGACCCGGGCGGTGGAACATTTTGCCCAGCTAGGACTGTTTGGAGCGTCCTGAGGCCGCTCCTTGAGGGGGGGGGGGGGGTACTGTCAGGAATGGACTGGCCAGCAATAGTGGGACTCAGCTGCCTTTTTGAGCTGCAGTACCAGGGCTGGCCAGCGGGTGCTCCCAGCAATCAGAGACTCAACCTTGCAGCCAGTCAAACACCTGGAACTAATTATACTGGTGTATTTAAGGGACATTCAGACCTGCAGACTCTGCCTTGGTGTTGTGTTTCTCTTGGGCCCTGTATCCTGTTCCTGCTCTCTGTTCCTGTCTGATTCTCTGCTGACCCTGCTCTGATCCCTGGCTTGTCTGACCATTCTCCTCTGCCTGACCCTCTGTACCACGCTGCCCGCTACCTGCTGAACCTGGCCTGTGACCCCGACCATTCTCCGCTTGCTCCCCCTGTACCTACCTGCCCGACTGATATTGACCCGGCCTGCCTGACAACGCTTGCATTGTATGTACTGTTATCTGTGGGTGGTTGGTTGGTTTGTTTGCACTGTGTTATGTTTTAGTATTGCACTGCGTTTATGTTTGTATGGTTAGTGTTAATAAATTACATTGTTTATAACAGTTTCCCTGCGTCAGTCACACACCTCTGGTCATACCCGGGAGCCCTGACACTGTCACAGTGGGGGATTGGGGGGAGTGAGTGCTACACAAACATGTTACACCCTGAATATGGGTGTAACATGTTATGAAAGGTGAACTTATCCTTTAACCTGTTCAGTTCACAGTAAAAGACTTTGACTGAGTCATTGTAAGTTAATATAACTTTACACTTGCCTGCTACATTTACTAAAGTATTGCTCAGTTGCTCATACATGCACCGCTATCTCTTACTGTTCTGGGATCTGAATGATGTCATGTCAGAGACCAGGACTAGAAATCATCTGGGCAGAAAGAGAAGTGTATGTATGTCTTCTAGTAGTGCCGGCTGCCACCCGGGTGCAGGAGACCGCTCCATCAGCTTGACAGTGAACAAACACTAACAACCAACCTACCTATGATGCAATATATACAAGTAGAGGGGGAACAAGAACACGTAACATAGAAGATGTGAGGAACAACCAGGAAGACCAACAGTCAGGGAGACCTATCAGGGAGGGGATCAGGAACAAGGGAAACAGATACAAGGAAGCAAGTTAGAGGATACATATACTGAAACAGAACAAAGATCAGAATTGGAATCAAACTGGTATTAAAGCTATGGCTTTTTCTGTATTTATAAAAAACATTTTATAATTAACTGCTCTGTGTAGTGGGTTTGCACAGAGCAGCCCCGATCCTCTTTTCAGGTCCCCTACTGGTGCTCCTGGCTGCTCCCCCCTGACCAGTGCATAATCTTTGTCTGATCAGCCTCCAAGACTCTGCCTGATTTTCGGTCTTCCAGGTCCACGATGGACAAGCCTGCACCTAAAGATTTCCAGTCTTCTGCCATTGCTCCAAAACCTAGAAACTGTCTCAGCTCTGCGATGTGCACCACCTTAAAACTTGAAGATCAGCCCATAGCCTTTACAAGTGATTTCCCCAGTCTAGATTGCTTTAGTGCTCCTAAGACCACAAAGATGTTTCTGATGTTCAGGCTGTTTGCAGACTTCATTTATGGTCCAAAGTGACGACCAGCTTTGTACCTGTTTGAGGAAGACCTTGTTAAAAAGCAGGCTGCCCCTCTGTATCCCGTTTTAACAAAATCCCTACCATCCTAGTAGACGATGCACCTATCTTTAAGTACCCCTCCAACAAGCATATGTAGGCCCTCTCTAGAACCCTATTGTCCGTAGCAAGCCCTTCACTGCAGCCTGTTTTGGCCATGACCTTAACCTGTTAAACTCTAGCTAACTGACTGGTCCAACTCAATTAGGAATGATTTGATCACCATGCAGCTGATCCCTTGGTCATAAAGCATTTGGATTTCATGCTGACAGCTTTGAACTACAGTGCAGACAGGTTGTTAGAGGTCTCCTGCATCATCTTCCATATAGGTCTCCTTAAAGCAAACATGAGGAGGACAAAGTTAGACATACACACACCAGATATTTTCATTTTGTTTTGAATGCATTTGTTTATTGAAGAATTTCATTTCATCATATTCGTTTTGTAGAACCAATTCTTTTTCAGAATTCATTTCAGTAAAACCTTTGTAAAAATCTTTTCAGTATTTTTTATAGCACTCAAATGACCTCCCAACAAGTGTCTGTGGGCGAATTCTAGCACCATATTCTGTATGACCTAGGGGCTCCAAATTGCTCAATAATTTCATCACTCTTTTTATACACTCATACAAGTTCTCATTGCTACTGAAATAAGAAAAACACTGCCTGTCCCCTGGTTTGACAGGTATATCATTGACCATCACAAGATTATCCGAGGACCTGCCAAGAAAAGGGTCTTTTTTTGGCTCCATGCCAAAGTTTTCCCTATGCATAGTAAGATAAAAAAACTCACCAAGCAGAGTTACAGTATCTCACAGAAGTGAGTACACCCCTCACATTTTTGTAAATATTTTATTATATCTTTTAATGTGGCAACACTGAAGAAATGACACTTTGCTACAATGTAAAGCAGTGAGTGTACAGCTTGTATAACAGTGTAAATTTGCTGTCCCCTCAAAATAACTCAACACGCCATTAATGTCTAAACTGCTGGCAATAAAAGTGAGTACACCCGAAGTGAAAATGTCCAAATTGGGCCAAAGTGTCAATATTTTGTGTGGCCACCATTGTTTTCCAGTACTGCCTTAACCCTCTTCGGCATGGAGTTCATCAGAGCCTCACAGGTTGCCACTGGAGTCCTCAATCCACTCCTCCATGACAACATGGATGTTAGATACCTTGCGCTCCTCCACCTTCCATTTGAGGATGCCCCACAGATGCTCAATAAGGTTTAGGTCTGGAGACATGCTTGGCCAGTCCATCACCTTTACCCTCAGCTTCTTTAGCAAGGCAGTGGTTGTCTTGGAGGTGTGTTTGGGGTCATTATCATTTTGCCCTGTGGTCCAGTCTCCCAAGGGAGGGGATCATGCTCTGCTTCAGTATGTCACAGTACATACTGGCATTCATGGTTCCCTCAATGAACTGTAGCTCCCCAGTGCCGGCAGCACTCATGCAGCCCCAGACCCTGACACTCCCACCACCATGCTTGACTGTAGGCAAGACACACTTGTCTTTGTACTCCTCACCTGGTTGCCACCACACACACTTGACACCATCTGAACCAAATAAGTTTATCTTGGTCTCATCAGACCACAGGGCATGGTTCCAGTAATCCATGTCCTTAGTCTGCTTGTCTTCAGCAAACTGTTTGCGGGCTTTCTTGTGCATCATCTTTAGAAGAAGCTTCCTTCTGGGATGACAGCCATGCAGACCAATTTGATGCAGTGTGCGGCTTATGGTCTGAGCACTGACTGGCTGGAACCTGTCCTGTTAAACCGCTGTATGGTCTTGGCCACCGTTCTGCAGCTCACTTTCAGGGTCTTGGCAATTTTTTTATAGCCTAAGCCATCTTTATGTAGATAAACAATTATTTTTTTCAGATCATCAGAGAGTTCTTTGCCATGAGGTGCCATGTTCTAGTGACCAGTATGAGAGTGTGAGAGAGATAACACCAAATTTAACACACCTGCTCCCCATTCATAACTGAGACTTTGTAACACTAACGAGTCACATGACACTGGGGAGGGAAAATGGCTAATTGGGCCCAATTTGGACATTTTCACTTAGGGGTGTACTCATTTTTGTTGCCAGCGGTTTAGACATTAATGGCTGTGTGTTGAGTTTTTTTGAGGGGACAGCGAATTTACACTGT